GCTCAGGGTGGCTGTGTTTCAGTCTCATTTTTTTGTACTCTACTATTGGTGAGTGAGAGGGAAAACAAGTTGATGTATATGGTTTGGAACCACTACGCATAGGGATGATTGATGCTGTATTCAAACTGGTTGGAAAGGGAGTGAAAATTGTACACTGAGAATGCATGATTCTATTAGAATGAACAATGATAATATGCATTGTAGGGGAGGAGATTGATGCTACATACATTATGCTTTGTATACATAGAAATGTTCAATGAAGCATAGGCATTAGATGTAGACTATTACATTCTTTAAAAAAAAGAGGTGACATATATGCATATATAGGTAGCATTACAATAGATGTGGGGGGGGGGGAGTGGATATTCTGTGCTTATTCCAAGCTCAGTATTATCTAGAGCTGTTCAGTAGGAAATCCTGTGGAATCCAATGAGACTTGCTACTAAATAAGCATACTCTGGATTATAATATTGTACCATAACTAGTTAGTCAAATGTAATAGCATTTATACTAAAAAAACATTCTGGTCCATTAAATATTGATGATGCTCCTGATTGAATGTACACTCCTGTTGCAGAATTGGACACAGCACAAAATCTGTTTGTGGAAATATTTAAGAGGATCCTAGTAAAATACTGGATTTACTTCTGTTCCATCATGTTCTTTATTGTCAGCTTCAATGGCAAAGTGGTCCTGTATAAAATTATTTACATTATCCTTTTTCTGTTTTGTGTGGCTTTATATCAGGTAAGCAGATCTGGAATTTGAGACTTCTGCTTGATTTCTAATTTCTGAAAGGAAAAGAAAGCACTGGCAAATCAAATCTGTTAGTTTGCAGTTCTTTTGATGCTTTATCTTTGAAATGTTAATCTTTTTCTATTTCTACATTAATTTGTAATTAGTGTAAACATTTGCAGAAAAATACATTTCCATGTACTTGTATATTTTTCCCAAAGGCTTATAACAGTCAATAACCTTATGTCACATTCCAGATGCTATTGTGTTTGCAAAAGTGCCTTAGAAATTCCAAAGGGCCCACATTAAAGATATTTTCAAATTAGTTCATTACTTGGTTTCAAAAATGCATGCATCTGATAGATTCACATTAAATTACAATAAATAAACCCCTTATTCCTTATAGCCTAGTCATGTTATTTTAATTCACATATGGGAGAAACTGTCTATGCCTTTAAAAGCAGCTATGGTTACTGAGAATTTTCTTCTTTTTTTAATTTCTGAGGATTGCACAAGAAGTTGAATTTTTTTCAATAAAGAAAATAATTGCAGACACACTACATTTATCATAGATACATTTTGATATAAATATAAAGACAAATGGATTTTGAAAACTTTGTAGCTCAGTTTTATTTGTTGTGACTCTTTCTACTATAAGCCTTCTAGTAGAGTATTTGATTATATTCAATACTAAGGCTACAAAATTAAACTTGTTGGTTCTAGATTCATTATGAAGGATGGCGACGAGTCCTGAAAGGATTTTGGCTGCTAAGTGTCTCCTATTCGATGATAGTCCTCATTGCTTTATATACTTACCAGTTTGAGATGATTTCTGCATTTTTCCTAAAAACTTTGGAAATATCAGAGGAAACGTAAGAACTTTAATTTAAGATTCTATATTGCTATTGTTTCTTGAGATTCCCCCCACCCCCAAATTCTGTTGTATAGAAGCAAATAAAGAATTTGCTGTTGGTATCAAAATATAGATACCAATACTAGATGAAGATGATGATAGAATCAAGATCACATGAAGTGTTAATACCACTTTATAATGCCTTGGTAAGGCCACATTTGGAATACTGCATTCAGTTTTGATCGCTACCATGTAAAAAAAAAAGATGTGGAGACTCTAGAAAGAGTGCAGAGAAGAGCAACAAAGATGATTAGGGGTCTGGATGCTAAAACATATGAAGAACAGTTGCAGGAACTGGGTATGTCTAGTTTAATGAAAAGAACGACTAGAGGAGACATGATAGCAGTGTTCCAATATTTGAGGGGCTGCCCCAAAGAAGAGGAGGTCAAACTGTTCTCCAAAGCACCTGAGGGTAGGAGAAGAAACAACGG